TCAACATGGATATAAAGCAAATTCTACACTAACCTATATGGTACATAAATCAAACAAATTGAGCAAAAGCTATAACATATAAAATTTTTTTATAATATTCTTATCCTCGAGATTGCAACCAATGGGTGAATATTTTATTAGCCAAATTATCTCTAAATTGAGTCTAAGAATTAAATGACTTAACATGCATAATTAAATCTTGATATTCAGATTCATTTGATTGGCTAATATTTTTTTTAGTAACATCACCTTCAACAAGGTTAAAAATTATCTAAGAGCTAATAAAATTATAAAGAGGCAATAAGCAAAAATGATTCTATACTGTGTCTTTATTAAATAAAATGATTTCTCTTTTAAAATTACCCATATAATTTCAATATACTAAAACATCTTTCAATGCAATTTCTTACTTAAGAGTGTTTCATATTAAAACATTCTTGCAGGGTTGTTGGTTGGAGTCCTACCCTCCAATCACTAAGATGGTATCACTAACCTTTATAAAGTGCCTAAAAATCGTTCCTATTAATGTATTTGGCATCAAACAAATAGTAATTACCTATTACAGTGCAGTAACATTAATAATATAAAAAAAGATGTTTCATTATAAATATAAAATGAACATAATAAAAATAATACCTTGTGGGATCCTTAACCCATTTTTGCATGTAATGACATCCTTTAGCATTCTTCTATTTGCTACAAAACCTTCTTATCTCGGTAGAATATATATGAATTGCATATTATGCTAACACCAAGGATATTGGTAGCAATTTTATTTTTCATAGTCTTGTATCTAGGCCTGTCAACTACGTCTGCATTGACTTTGATGAATGTCCCATCTAAGGCACCCAAACAACCCTTAAATCATTTTTATCTATTATTTGTTGAATTATTTGACATCGGTTTGGGTTTTTCAAATAGCAGCGTATGCAATCTTAAAACAAAATTCAACACAGAATGGAATTGCCTACTAATCATCTTTTCAGATTTAGATACTTGACGATTCATAATCCTATTTTTTGTATGATAGGCTATGATGTGGAGGAAACTAATAACTAGTTCTTCTATTGATATATGTCTAGATGCTTGAATCCCTTTTCTATTTTAAGCAAATGATATAATTTTGCAAAAGCTATCCTATCCACTCTAGTATTATCTACACATTGTCTATTGCTCTTAAAGACCATTGTATTTAAGTTTAACTATCTAATATGTAGCTTATCATAAAATGTTCCGCCATAAGATAATCTATGTCAATTTTTAATGTTCATATGTAATAAAATCACAACAACAAAATATAACACATGCAACAAAGTCTTTATCTAGTTCAAATGCATCATAAACAATGTAATCGATTTCATCTTTGTTCTTAGTGATAAACCTACCATAACTGTTTAGAAGACATAATTTTGTTAAAGTTGAAAACATAAATAGAAAACAAATATTTGCATATAGCATTTGGAATCTATCAAATATCAATATATATATATATATATATTAGCAACAAAGCATTTTTAGATGAAAGAGCTAAAACAAATAAACCATAAAATACATTTGATATATCAGAAACAAAAATCCAAATCTAAACAACATCTAAAAAGATGAAAAAAAAAAAAAACAAAATGGAATGCAACAAATAATGCAAATTAGATAATTAGGTATCATAAAGTATATACATCATTTTTTGTAAAAAATGAAGATAAATTCAACATGATGAAAATTAAATGACCGATGTTGAAATATGATTTTTTTCAAAGAGAAAAGTATTTGCTTTGACCTGAGATATGTTGAAATAAAAATAAAAAACTATTGGTTATTGAAACATGATAAAGAGATCAATTAATGCATTTCATATGTAGAAACGCCTTATTTGATGTATAAAATATGGCTTTTTTTGATTCACGATGATGCATTACAAAATTCATATTATTATAACACAATCTTTGACAAGGAAAACAAAATTTTAATATACGGCAATTACAACGTTTGCAGGAAAAAATATCTTAATTGATAACTAATTAAGGCATTTTTCATTAAAACGCCTTAATTGATGGCCACATGAATCTTTATCAAACTGTGACTGAAAATCATTCATATCATAACATGATCTTCGAGACCTAAAAAAAATTTAATTGATGATCAATTAAAGCATTTCTCTTTGAAATACTTTAATTGATTATTGATTAAGGTGTTTGATGAAAGAAATGCCTTAATTGATCATCAATTAATACGTATCTTCTTTGAAACACCTTAATTGAAACATAAATAAAAAATAATTTTTTTATAAAAAAGCTACAATTGAGTTCTAATCACTTTCAAACTTACTTTTTAAAAGGGTAATGAATATGAGATCAATTTTTTATTCAAATCAAATTTAGATACAAGATAACTTTCCTCCTCTGAAATCTTAAAATACCACAAAGAGAGGTGAGTTTTTTACTTTGGGTACTATTGGAAATCTAACATTTTCCCTTTTAATCGAATTATCTTGAATCAAATGTGAGAAACAAATACCCACTATCAAGATTTCGGGAGGAAATTTATGGATTCCTCTGAACCAAACATACTTTTAGAGATAATTGGATTGAATTAAATTAGTAATGTGATAAGAAATCTTTTAAATTGAGACTTTGTTTAAATTTAGAGTTTCATTGTTATTTAAACAACCAAGAATTGACTAAGAAAGAGGCATCTTCATACCATTGTTAGCTATCTCTACCACCCATAGCCTTCAAATACACCTTCTCCTAATCCACAAATCCATTGAATTCACCTCTACCCAAATCATAACTATCTAAAACAAAACCTTCAAAAAGTTTAACTCTACCTAAATATCAAGGTTTAAATAATTCATAATCACCCAAGTCACAACCTTCAGTAAACACACCTAGCTTGAAACTATTACCATAATTGAATCTTAAACCAAATCGCCAGTATCTCTACCACAAACCATAGCACAAATGCTGCAGTCACACTATAAAAAGAAAAAACCCACTGCAAAGCATGTTCCATCAGCAACTTCTTTTATATCCAATAGTAACCAAATTCCTTTACCACGTTGTCCTTCAAATCTGACCACCCTGTTTCCATTTTACCCTAACTAAATATCTTAACCATCATTCACAAAATAGAAAAAAACATAATTCATTCACAAAAGCAAAAAGCAAAACCATAAGAAAACAACAAAAATCATAGAACCCAGAGAATGGCAAAAGTTAATTTTTTTTTGGTTTTTTGGGTTTAATTGTTTTTATAGTATTTTTTTATTAGTTGACTAGAGGACAAGAGAAATGACTATGGTGGTTTGGGTTATTCGAAAGTGGTGGTACCAAAGGTCCCATTACAACTAGAGAGCTTTTAGGTCTCTTAAATAGGCAGAATGGAAAATATGTTGGATTTTTTTTAATTATGCAAATCAAATCTTAATTGTAGATAGCTTTAATGTCTAAGGTCTTAAAACAAGATGATTTTTATAATTTTCTAATTGATGAGAAATCATACTTTAATCCATAATTATTTTTTTATTTAGAAATGGTGTTTTATAATTTTTTATTTTCTCTCTCTTGATCCTTTGACGTAAGACACATTCTTAATTGATTTAATTGATATAATGTATCAATTTATAGGTAGAGAGAGTGAAATGATTTTTTTCATTCGTTAATTGCATTCAATTCATACATTCCATCAACATATGAATTATAAACAAAATTTTCTTTTGTTTACTTTGCATTCATTGTTTCATAAAACAAAATTTTGATTCATTACAATTAAAACTCTTTTAGATTAATTATGTTGATTAAGCAAAAGTTTTGTTTACATTAATTAAACAAAACCTTTGCTTTAATTATTAAGTTTAATAAATTCAATACTTATTAAACTATAATAATTAGCTTAACTTATTATCTTAAGTTATTAAACCATAAATAAATAAAAATATTTTTTAAGTTAGATAATGGCTATGTAGGCCACATAATATCTAACATTCTCCTACTTGGCCTATGTGGAATTGTTCAATTTTATGGTTTAATAATAAAACATAATGCGCATAATACAAGCTAAGTCCTTTCTTAAACCATAAATTATCATTAACTAAATACTAATAAAGATCATAGGGATTGTATGTCATTAACTCGACATAATTCCTTTTATGTATCATATTATTAGTTTTATACTCAACATGATCTTTAATGAGAAATGCTATAATATTCAATAATGTCTTTGTTAGAGACAAATCTTGTTCATATTCACATAATTCAATCATGTATATATACTAACATAATGGAATAGGCTGCATTAATATGTTAGAAACAGTACTTAAAAGAGCTCATATTGTCAAATGCATAAAGAACATAAAACTTTATCATAATGTAAATAATGATTTCAATAATGCCCATTTTTTTTCACATGTTCATTAAATGTCTTTGGTGACCGCAACTTTAAGATTAGTGTTAATGTGTTCAATTAACACTATTTTTTTTTTTTTGAACTTCTTCCTTAATAGCAAAATATTTTAATTTCATGTATTTAGTACATTTTGAATAATTGTTGTTTTTAGAAAAGAAACTGTTACAATATTATCACAATAAATTTCAGCAACTTGACAATAGTATCAACAATTTAAGGAGTCGGATCGAAATTAGAGTAAGCAAAAACCCATCCGGTCCTAAAACATTGCCATGGCTACCTATATACAAAAAAAAAAAAAAATGCCATTGCAAGTAAACACAGAAAAAGATCGGCAGAGAACGAGGGTTAAGGCCCGTTGGAGCAAATTCTTATACTATATCAGAAAATGAATTACATAGGAAATTTGATGGATTGCATTCAGTAGTATTTATAATCAAATATTCATAGGATAATGACAAGTATTTGCAAAATACAAGCTAGGGTTCAAACATGTACAAGTAAAATTAAATTCAAACTTAGGATAAGCTGGAAAGATCATATATAATCTGAAATTGATGATCTGATCGGCTTTTCCCTCCAATATTCATATCATCTTATGAGCACTTAACTAATGATGACAGCTTCTCAAAGTGAAAAATGTGCTTCCCAATTCGGTAATGATGATAATTGTACAGAACTGCAGCCAACGTCACCGCCAAGAAGGACATCAAAATTAACTTCCAGAAATCCTGGACAATTTTTGAGAACTGAGTGAGTTTTTAAGTTAGAAGCATCCAATTCTGAAAATAAAATGGTCGTTTTAGGTATAAATCCATAATGCAAAGATCTGTTACGGCAAACAAAAGTAACACTACCTGTGCATTGCTTACTCTTGCGAACCAAAAAAACACAGGTGGAAATGTCAGGATTTGCAGAACTGAGTTGGAGGTAACAGAACAACCAAACAAGAGAACCCCCAACCCACACCCTGAGAAATGTCAATTTGTAGGCACTTGTAGTCTATTGAACCAAGTGTCTTGTATACGGAAACCATAAACAGAATAAATGATTGAGACGATACACTGACAATATAAAAAATTATTTGAAAAAGATACGAAAGATCATGGTTTAAAATTTTGAATAAAATTATATATAAATTTAATTAAAAAATATATTTTGTGTTCGATGAGTGATACAAAATAAACATACATAAATATAAAAATTATCTAATTTCCCAATTAATGCTCCTTTTTAAGCTAAATTCTATGATTACCTTGGGATTCGAGATTATTATTCCCATGACATAAGCCATCAAATCCAAGGTGGACTGAAGTGAGTTCTGAACACCTCCCACAACGAAACGATCAGATTCAGGAACAAGATCCTGTCCGGGAGACAGTGGGAAAGTGTAATTATAGAAAATGCATGTAATACGAATTTTTAAAATGGAGATGCAGAGAGAAATAAGCTTCCAATTAAAAGAGAGAATTTAAAACATTGTTGTAACAGAATTTAATACTACCAGCTTATAACAAAATTCTACCTGCATTTGTTGGGTGACCGATAAGTCGAACATCCACAAACCAAGCCGAGATGTGGCAACTCCACCCATCAGCATATATGCTGAGAAATGGCTATATTTGACCCAAATTGAAGCGACACAAACCAGCAGGCAAATCCACTGAATCAAAAGGTGCATTTCAATTAATTTGAAAACGCAAGTAAGACCTTTTGTCTATTCGTTCTATGGAAAAGCAAAAGGAATTGAAGGTGAGGAGCAATCAAGCAAGGCTGGCTATTTAGTAACTCTTTAATTGGCCTATACGAGGGTTATACCTGAGACCACACAGACCAGAGACCTGTTCTGAATGTTGAAATACGAGATTGTAGCACAGGGTACACAACTGTCGCAGCTATTCCAATTGCAGCACTAATGCCACGTGCCATTCCAATTACAAATGCCGGTATGCCTTCCCATTCCAGGGCTACCATCATCAAAGTCCCAAAGCTGGAAAAACATCAATTATTAAGACGTGAATTGCGATAAATCAAACCAATAAAAAAATGGAAAGAATCCTAATTAAATAAAAGATAACATTTTATGTACTAACGTATAAGTGTTATATATACACTATCAATTAAGTATGAGATAAAATTTTATTAACATTAAAATTAAAAATAATTAGGTCATTAAAAATAAATATTAATAAATTTATTTAAGTTTGAGATAATATTACAATAATCTCTTAATTATAATAAAATATTTAATATAATACCCAAATTTTAAAAATTTGTAACATAATATTTGAATTATGAATTTATTAATTAATGTGATAATTAAAAAATTATTTGTCTACTACATGTTATCATTTAGAGCTAATTAACTACAATAGGATTGAGTACTATATTGATTAATAAATTAATAGTTCATGTATCATATTAAATATTTTAAAATTTAAATACCACAGTGAATATTTTATTATAATTTAAGAATCAATAATAACATTAACCCTTTAAATTTAGAGTTTATATTTGATATAATATCAGTATATAAATTTTATATACTGTCAATTAATCAGATGATGATAACTTATTATTAAGCAAATATCAACTCGTAATATAACTATATACGAATTGAAATAATTTACTCATTAATGAGGTTATCATCAGATTCAGCTCATTAATAAGTTTTCATCATTTGATTCATCGACAGTGTATCAAATTTATATAATATTAACAATATATCAAATATAAACTGTTAAATTTAATTAATTACCAAAAATAATTTATTTTTAAAAGCCTAACCATTTTTAGTTTTACTCATTATACAATGTTAATACATAAATATTAACTCATGAAATAATATTTCTTCCATTTGCACGAAAGATAAAACAAAAAGAATTCCTAGATACTCACCTTAAGACGGTGAAATATAACAAAGCTAAAGCAACTCCCGGTAGAACAACATCCTGTTGCAAATACACTCCCCATGCGTCAATGTAGGGAACCTTAGAGACCCACTCAATAATTTTACTTCCACAGTTTTTTCCTGCGGCTACTGAATTCTCTCCATCATTGGAAAGTTTATTATTTCGTTCCTGAGAAGCTGATATGGTGTCCTCCTCGTGGATTACATCATCACTTGGTGAAACGTCTGAAATCCTCTTCCGGCTGTTTTCACTTAAAGCTGGGATCCCTTTATACAGAGACATAAGAAGCCAATATTCCACCCAAACAGATGTAGTTGCCCACAGTGCTATGGTCATAGCAGATGCTTCTAGTGATAAAAAGCTGATAATGAAGCCAGTTATAACTGGTGCACCTAACTTGCAGGTTAGATCAATTCGTCTGATAATAGAATTCATCGCAGTTAGTAATCCAGGAGGATAGCCTTCTGATATTACCACCACCCTGTTCTTGAAACAAGAAAAAAAAAAAACACATCAACTTTTGGCAAAAGGAAAAGAAAAGAAAATTTTGAACATGCTCAAGAAAAATAACACTTTTGCTCCTCTTCATATTAGTCCATATTCTCTTCTTTATGTTAATTGCTTCTAACTTTCCTAGCACTATATGCAATTACCATTCTCTTTCGATCAGGATGGTGCCGGCTAGAGTTGAAACCACACCGATAGCTCCAGAGATGTTGGTTAATATCACCAGGAAGATGAATGCTAAGAGATTTCTGAACTTCAGACTTGAAAACACCAGTAAGGCCATTACTGCACCTCCAGCAACTATGAAGGAGAGATTCTGGGTTACTAACCAAAGTTGAAGAACCTGCCAACAGAAATTACACATATAATTACTCACTTATCTGTTGTTTAGATTTATTAGTTAAAGGCAGCTTTAACATGCTTAGCGAAATGAGTTCATAAAAACCAGCAATCGGCAATTTTCGCTTCGTTTTTTTAAGAGAAAAATCCTACAGATAATCACTGATATGCTGGCTTATTAACTTACGTGGAAAGTTATTGAATAGCAATTATCGATTGGAATATCCAGGCATGTATCCTGCAGTTATATTAACTAGCATTTTATTGCTGCTTCAAGAAGCGACCATAAGTAGATATAACAATTTATATATTTGTGTTATATAAAATATTAATAATTTATATATTTATATATTTATATTATATTTTATATAAAAATTATACATCATAATTCATATAAATACTAAAAATAAAAAAATATATTTTTATTTGTATTAAACTTATATATAATTTTTATTAATAACTCATATCATTTTCCTTTTTTTTTTTTTTCGTTTTATTTTCATATCATTTCATTATAACCATTTTTTAAATCCTTTGATAAATAATTACTATCAGATTTTTAAGACCCTGAAAGAGGATTGCTCATGCTTCAGTGAGATTCAATTATAGCTCTAAACTTTCCATTAAAATTTTATAAGTTACATGGTTACAAAAAATTTTATTATTTCATCTACAGTCTCTTTGATAAGTTGATTGCATTGATATTTTCAAAACAAGGTTTACAGGAAAATTGAACTTTCAAATCTTAAAATTTTTCAATTAAAGAAATGAAGATTTGAAGCAAACCTTTACATATGACAGTCTAGCCAACCACCGTCCAATAATGGGACCAAATAATGCAGTAGAGGCAGATTCCACAACACCATAAATAGCAGCAAGGAGCAAAGAGTTTGGCCAAACATTGATCATATATAAACCGACAGAGAATTCCCACATTCTACAAAGAGTAAAAGAATTCAAAAGAACTTAGAGGCATCAAATAGGAATTCCTAGGAAGCACACAAGGGTGACAGGCAATTTAGATCATTGCTATTGCACCAAGGATACTGGCAAAGTCTAAATAGTCAAAAGGAAGATAATTAATGTGTAATGGGTGTGTTCAATATAAATACTAGAAAAATTACACGAAAATAATTAACTGTGTTATTCTTGAAATGTTTCTGCTACCTTTAAATTTGCAATTATTATCTTTGTTTTTCATTTTTCAATTTACAATATGGAGAGAAAAAAATGCAACAATGCCTTTTGAGGATAAAAAATTTGGTATACTAACTATGAAGACAATTGTCTCGAATCAATAACTTTGAAGAAATTTAGAACATAAGAGAAGCTCTAATCAAAGAGTTTCGTCCACAGTTATCATAATATTTATACTCATACCATAAAATAGAAATTGAAACAATCAAAAGGTAAACTTTCATTCTGAAATGAAAAATACTGATAGAACAAAGGGATAAGATTCAAATTTATTGCTTTACTTAAAACAAGTATAACTTTATCAATATATCTTCTTACTTCGTTCAAAAATTATCAAAAGTTACAATATTTATAAGTTTTTTTTTTTTTTTTTATATATCTTTATTGAATATTCTTGACTTTTAAGTCAAACTTAAAATGTGTATGAACAAAGTTAAACCAAATCAGGTTCAATTGACAACTCTAAAACCCAAATCTGTGCTCAACCTTCTCATTTAAATTAAGTTTATTTTCAAAATATTAAAATATATTTTAGAATTAAAAATTAGTTAAAATATATTATTTATTAATATAAAAGTTTTTTGGTTGGGTTCAAATCTAAAAATTATGCCTAAACTTCTATTTGACTTGAAGCTAGACGAAAAGGCGTAGCAAGATACCAAACCATTGACACTTCTGTTATTTTTTTAATCAAAGTCAAAAGCATAATAGTAAGTTAGATTCACTCCAAGATGAGCGATAAATTTGACCCATATGAATAAAATTGTAAATTTACACCTTATTCCTAAAAGTAATAATAAGTAGTAACAATAGTAGTAATATGATCATTACTAATTAAGATCCCTAAATCAGCCGAATTAATTAAAAAAAAGAGTTAATTAGTCGAGAAAATAATGAAAACAATCCTTTACTCAAACAAGTTTTATTTTATATATGATGAGCGGGGGAGAAAGAGCAATAAGGAGGAGAAGAAACGAACCTGGCGCCCCATCTTGCAAGAAACTGAGCGGTATATAGATACTTGAGAAGAGATGGAGGTCCTTCTAGTGTTTGCTCCTGCGCAAGTGGTGATACTTGTCTATCCATTTCAGCTGCTTCTCCCATCTTTTCTGAGCCTCCGCTATTCATGTCAGGTTGACAATCAGTCATCAGATGAAATTCTGGATCCTAATTCCTACACATGCACGGAGGTGATAGATACGGAATGACTATGAGGTGATATATCATAGTCTTCAAAACCGTGGTTCAAAATCTACCACACAGTTATTTTGCCTTTTGCTTTTTGTGTTTAGTATAGCAAAAATAATACTTTCTCTCTCTCTCTCTCTCTCCATTTTAGCTCGGAAACGGCAAACCATGAACTTCACCCATCATTACTAGCTCTGAAAGTTATTAAGCAATAATTTCTGCATTGAATTATTAAGTAATTAATGACAAAAGCAATCAGATTTTATCTTTAAAGTAATTTTCTAAAATAAAAAGTAAATATTTATGTAGTCTGTAAAGTTTGTTCCCAAGTGCATATCATTTTATTTTTGTAATAAATGGTCAATAGATATGTTTCGGCCCAGCTCAATCTGGTTCTATCGAGTCTTTTCTTATTTTTATTTTAAGTAGAAAAATATTAAAGTTAAACTAAACATTAGGCAGGAAAAAAAAAAACCCTAAACTTTGCCTACAGTAACAAATAGCCATGGAAAAAATGACTAAGCAACCATGTTTCTTTTAACTTCTGTTGTGTAGAACAAAAGTTTCATTACAAGAAAAATCATATTAATCAATATTTATAAAGTGTTAGTTAAAGATAAAAAAAAGTGCCGATATTATCATTGATGATATTTTTTTACTGTCGGTTGATTGTGGGCTAAGTGAGTGTTGATAAAAATATTATGATAATCAAGCCATCGGTGCTAAAATTTTATATATATATATATATATATATATATATTTGCTGATATGATTTTTTTAAAACTTTAAATTACTATTATAAGTAATAAAAAACATTTTAAAACATTTAAAATGTTGGTAAAGTCACATTTTATTTAAATTTTTTATATTTATTGAATGGGTTATATTGACACTAAAAATCATCTTTAATAGTCTTACTTTATCTTCTTAAAATAATTTTCATATTTCTAATCTTTGTACCCAATAAAATTAAAAAACAATTCATAACAATTAATAGAGATTGAAGGTCTAAGAATTGTAGCATTAGCTGTGCAACAATCACATGCACAAATTTCATTCGACATATGCTTCCTTGATTTTGCTTCCTAAATTTTGCTTTCAATTTCAATGGCTTGCGCAACAAATGATATTTCTCAAATTTTGCTTCCCTGTGTAAACACCATTTATTATTATATATTTATTTAATTTTTTTTCCGTTTTCTATTTTTTTCTTTCTTCTTTCTTTCCTCCTTTCTTTTCCCTTCTTCTTTTTTCTTATCCGGTTCAAATCTAATGCATTAAATGCACAATCCCTAAAATCCAAAATCACCGTCACTAGTTGCTAGCGGCCGACCGACAAGCCCTTAATCACGAACGGCAGGCGTGAATTTTCAATTAAAAAAATGTGATTCGAATCCCAGAAGATCTGGGATTTGAATATCAAAAAGCTCTATAAATAGAACTTGTTATCTGCAAACAAAAATGAGAAAGAGGAATCGAAAAAAAACGGCAAAAAAATTTTACAAAAAATAAAAAAAAAAGCTTCTGTTAAAAAAATTTCTACAGAAACACAAAAAAAGCAGAAACAGTCCCCTGGAATGAGGAACCCAGCACCAAAATACACATACAAAAACACAAAAAAAAAAAAAAACAAACCAGAAAAACACAAAAAAATTTTTTTTTTGGTCGAAACTTTGAAGGCCGATCTGGGTCGTTTGGGATACTTTCGGGAGAAATCAAGCCCAGATCTGTGTTTAGGGGAACGAGGAGGATTTTTTGGGTATTTCTTTTGGATTTTTTGACCACCGGTGATCGATGAACGATGACGACGGCCTACCGGTACCATGATTTTTTTTGGTCTGAGAGGAAAATGGGAAGATTTTTGGGGAAAAGAAAAAAATAACCGAAAATAAAAATTTTTGGTTTTATATAAGCAGCCAAAAACCAAAATGACGTCTTTCACTAATGCCCAAAACGACATCGTTTTAACCTTTGAGGATCCGTGCGTCGACCTATGACCCGACTCGGGGTCATCGCACCCGACCCGATGACCCGTTTCTCTTTTAACCCCTAACCGGTCCAACTGAACCTTTAGACCGAACCAAGCTGCCGATCTGATCGGACCCGCATTGATCGAACCGTTGATCGGTCCGATTTAGGTAAAAAAAAATTTTTTTTTATTTTTTTAAAAGATTTTTTTAATTATTATTATTAATATTTATGCATGTAGAAATGTTTAAATTTATCAAAATACATTTTTTTTAATACAAAATTGATAAAAAACAATAATAAGAAAATGAAATTTTATCTAATGATGATATTTAAAGGTATTCCGAGTAGTGATGCCTACGAAATCTCTAGGTGAGAATAATTTTTTTAAATACTACCAGTGTATTGGAGTATTTATAAAAATTTTTCAATATAATAAAAATTTTCTTTTTGTTAGTAATAAATAAAAATTGATTAATATAATAAAAATATAAGTAATACAATGAGAAGAAAAGAAATTTTATCCAATGATGGAATTCTAAAAATATTTCGAGTAGAGATGCTTTAAGAATCCTTAGGTGAGAAAATTTTTTTTAAATATTACCAGTGTATTGGAGTATTTATAGAAAAACTTCAATACAATGAAAAATCTTTTTTTTCTTCAAAATTAAAAATAAAAAAAAATTAATAAGACAATTAATAAAATTTTTGAAAAAGAATAAAATGTGTGCATCAACATGTTATTATTTGCATTGCATACATGACATAATTTTTTACGAAAAGTAAATTTGGACCTCCAAAGATGAAATTCTAAGGTATTTCGAGAAGTGATGCCTAAGAAAATCTCTAGGTGAGAAAGAGTTTTTCTAATGCTACCAACGTACTAGAATATTTTAAAAATAATTTCAATAAAAAGGTTTTAATTTATTTTTCTCGAATAATATTTGAATATAAATAATAAACAAAAGAAATCAAAGAAAATTATTTTTCAAACACCGAAAATAGGACTGTTTTTTTTATCAAAATTAAAGGATAACACGTAGTTAATTGATACTATTTTAAACGGGTGCTATGGGAGTGCTAATCCTTCCCCATACGTAATCGACTCTCGAACCCAGATTGTTGTGCAGACCTTAAAATTATCTTTTTAATAAATTTTAATTAATTTTAAGATTTTATTAAAATAATATGTTTTAATAGGTGGCCAATTGCACCTAGCCAAAAAAGATTGGTGGCGACTCCGTTATTTTTATTTCATTTTCAAATTTGTCGGACGGACACAAAATCGTTACGACAGCTTAGCGACTCCACTGGGGAGAGCCATTTGTTTTTAACAGTCAGGCCAAAATTAACTACGTGTTATCTTAAAATTTTGATTTAAACAATCCTAATTGATTTCTTAGATTTTTTATTTTTCATTTTCAAACAAAAAAAAGTAAAAAAAAAAAAATTCACACACATTTCTTTTACTATGTTTTTTTTTTTATACTTTATTTTATTTATTACTCTCAATAAATTAGGATATATTTGCACACACAATGACATGCTGTATCTCATGCATGAGCTCTATACCCGAGCTCTGTCCTTTATAGGAGGAAGTAAAGTACCTATGCCCTCGTGAGGTGATAACCTCTGCAATGGCAAGCGAAATACTTTCACTCAAATTGAACCCTTTCTGTTCATAGCCTGTAATGGGTGAGGATCAAAATCCCTTACTAGTCTAGCGTGGATGACAGTGAGAAACAATTTGGGAACCTTTAGACATGTGTCAATCCAAACCCGACATATAATAAGCCTAGGAAACCAACCTTAGGTACAGCCTCGTCTACCTTCTGTAGGAAATACCTAAGAATAAAAGTTATGTGTAATACAAAACAAAACAAAAAAATCTAAAAAAAAAATTATTTTCAAACCTCATCCTCACACTAACTCAATTTTGTTTTTTTTTTCTTTTTTTATATGAATCATATCATATAGTTTTGCATCGAGATATTTGCTCTAGGACATATTTGCTCATCCTCTGTCAGTGTCCCATGTGAGCCATATAATGAAGTATATGTTTGGTCAAAAGAAGCTCAACAAAATAATGAAGATTGCTTGCCTATCGACTATGTGTCAAAGTTACCCGAAAATGTGCATTTGGATCTCACATAGAATGATTTAGAAGATTTAGCTGCTATCTGGGACAATTAAATGAAGAAAGAAAAGAAAGCTTTTGTAAGAAGTATGGGCAGATTGCATCCCTCATTTCAGTAGTGATCGATGAGTAATTGATAAGGACAGCTATATAATTTTAGGATCTATCCTATAGATGCTTCACTTTTAATCAAAAAGATTTGATGCCAACTATTGAAAAGTATTCGATTTTGCTTGAGATAAAATTACAGTGTCCAGATAAAGTATTCACCCGAAAGCCAAAATCAGGTTATCGAAAAAAGTTAGCCAAGCTTATAAAGGTTAAAGTGGAAACCATTGATTCCTTTACGAAGCCTAAAGGTGAAAATCTCGGCATTCGTTGGGACTTCCTTCGAAACTTCATTCAAGAGCATTTAAATGATGACAAAGGCATGGCTGTGTTTGCTTTATCATAGTATGGCATGCTAATCTTTCCAAAGACTTTGGGTTACATTGAGATAACTGTGATAGATTTTTTTGAGCAAATTGAAATGTAAGCAATTAATCCTGCACCAACAGTTTTAGTAGAAACCATTCGATCATTGAATTTTTATCGATGAAATGAAAATGGATGGTTCATAGGATGTGCACATCTATTATATGTGTGGGTTAGAAGTTATTTTAAATGCAAGAAGAGTGCATTTTCAAAGCCATATATACGAAACAAAGCACCAATAGAAGAGTTCTGCAAGAGTCAATGGCCAATATTGAAGATTAAGAAAGAGTGGGTCCTTTTCTTACAAAAGATTACCAAT